TTTTTGTCGCATGCTTCTTGCTGTAGACATTTTTTTTCCATTCATAAAGGCATGAATTATAAAATGGATGATTGAAACTTATGTGACAGTGTATTCCTCTGTAATTTTCTTCCAGTCTCCCTGTACTCAATCACAAAAAGAACGAAAAAGGGGTGATTTCTTTAGCGTAACATAAAAGAAAAGGCATATTTTCAAACCCTCTACAAACACATACGTACATGCACAGTGCCCACTTAATTTGCACACACGCAAAACAGCCTGAGTCACAAACACAAGCAGGCATACTGGAGAGGCGGTCTGGCGGACAGTGCGGCAGGGCTGCCACAGGATTCATGTAATTAAATGGCCTTTTAGCAGTCTATGATATGGACGGGTTTTAAGCAGTACGCATTAGCTCTTGTCGGCGAAAATTCCTGTTCACAGTTGATATTTAAATGTCTGGTTTTGGGGAGACTTACATTAATAGTACAAAGAAGAAGTCACCTTAACTTTGATCGGAGGTACTATTTGGCACAGCGAGTTCGCGAACTGCTTTGGCGAAAGATATGCGCTATTTTATAACTCAGTATCAAACTACATCGTGAGTTTTAATAGGCAAAGTAGGTTTCCTTCATGTAAGTGTTAGAGTAATTTGTATATTAGATCACAACATTGATTACACAAAAAGTCCACTTGCCTGACAAACCTTATTTGAAGACGAAGCAAAGCAGTACGGCTACGATGTTGCAATTCAGATGAATACGCACTAGATCGTAATATGTAGGTTGTTTGTTCAACTCTCGGTTTTGGTGAAGGGGCCACTTAAGGGCTCCCCCATTCTTCAACCTACAGGCGGCCTGGCCTTCGGTCTGTGCCAGTAGCCCCAATCCCTTCTATATGTTGATAATACATATACTGCCCGAGTATTATATCACCTTTCGCCTTCAGAAAAGACTGGAGGCACTATAAGATGATTTATACAAAGTACACAAACCGTGCTGCTTGAATCAAAAAGCGAAGAAAATAAGCACTACATTTTTTGTAATACACCTCGATCTACTCTCATGCTTCATATCAGTAAACTCATTTCCAGATTTTGAAACCATATTTAATAATTGATAAAAGGAGATTAGTTGCAGTAATGCTTAACTCAAAAAGGCCAAAACCGCTATCAATTGTAAATAGTTTTGAACAATTTTATTGACGCCAAGGCCGTATTAACCATATTTTTAATGGAAGAGCTACTGGCATGATGAGTTTAGGGTGAAAGAGGTAAAAAGTGAACAGCCAACACAGTGGTCACTCCAACACATGATACAGTCACTCAACTGCCTAGTTATCGCAGGATATTTAACAAGATGGCTTAAATCCACACGCACCAAGTAAGGTGACACAATCCAGGCCTGTCGCTCTCAATGCGCAAGGTCGTCAATGACTTCAGAGAAGCGTAGCTGTACTATGGGCACTCCAGGTGAGGATTCTGTTTAAAAAATCATAGCCCCTAATATTGGGGCTTCATGAATGAATGAAAAAGGTCTTTATTATTTAATTTTGTTAAATGTGGTGAAATTTTGCCCAGTTCATAAGTTGATGACAATATAAAAGTGATGTTGCCACTCCTCTGTTTCACCACCTTCCAGAAATGTCCCTCTCCATCTTATATAACTTTTTTGGTCTCAAGATAAAGTAAACATTTCGTTTTATAAAGATAATTATAAAGTTGGTAAGGAAACATTTTGATTAATATAAACTGCTACAAACCATAACTGCTTCATTTCAGCAAGTCCATAAAACTAGAGGAATTACATGTCTTTTCTGCATTTTGGAGTGTGGACCTAGGCTGTGGTTTTAAGATTTTAACCATAGAAAAAAGAGTAAGCATTCATTTATAACTTTTCATCCAAGTCAAATGTATACTACCACGCTTTGTACTTCCTAGTGTGCTAAAGCAATAAAACTATTTGACTCAAGCGTGGTCAAATTCATACTTGAAATGAATTATTTAATTCGGTTGAGGTACATCTGCATTCAATCTGGCAAGGCAGTTAAGCAAATACCTGGACACCTTACCTACGTGAGATGGGAAAAATTTTTGCCATTTTAATAGTCAAAGCTAAGTTCATTGCGTCGTTCGAACCGACGTTTTGATGCTACGAAAGCTGATTTCTTTCATGGATCTTACTTTTTACAAGGTTCTCAAGGGCAAGCATAGGAGCAAACGTTATCCAAAATTAATAAATAAAAGTTATTTGTGGAACTTTTGACTGCACTGGACTTTGATAGGGTATAGATTCATCACGTGTATTCGGTAATTAATAGTAATTACTAATCATTTGATTGGAAGGTAATAGAACTATTAGCCACTCCTGCTTCAAACAAGGAATAAAGCTGAAAATTTTACATTGATTAAGTGAAAGTGTCATAGGTCCTTTCATTGCATTGCAGCATTCATAGGCTCCATTAAAGCCTAAAAAAGGCGTGTTGCTTGGGCAGAGTGGGTATTGCCGACATAGAGAAGGGGTGGAGGGCTACTAGCATAGCCCGGAGGCCATCCCATTCAGAGGAAGTACAATCGCGGAGCTTTAGGTGCCTACGAAACCAAAACAGGCCGACAGAGGTAGTTACTAGATTGTATTTGTAAATATATTCTTCAAAATCAGGTATCTTTATTCAAAGGAATTACAAATATCCTCCTTGGCAGCGCTTTTGCGAGCCTTTACTTTTCATTTTTCAAAGACTCAAAGTATTACAATCGTCCCATTTCCTTTAACCTCCTTAGATTTTCTTTTGATTGTGATCTAAATGAATCAGACGATAACTTTAGGCTTCCATGTTTGGAACCTTTAATTACGCTGGAATTGATCCGGTATTGGTGAAACCTGCGCCTAAGTTCACACAGCTGACCTAAAAGAGTGATGTCTCCCAAATGGTCACCGAAGAACCGAACATCTAATTACTTGGTTGTAATAAAAGCGCTAAGGCCGATATTGCAGAACGGGGGATGCACCAATGTAGATTACCAGGAAACCACTCTGCTCAAGTGGCTAGACGGCTTCGTCTTACTTGCCGATGTTGACAACCCCTTCTGCGAGATTGGCTTAATTTTGTTTTCTTCAGCTTATCTGTTAAACTTTTAGAAATATACGTCCTTGAATTTGTTTACATTAATTATTAACTGCTACCTTTTGTAACTAATGGCAGAGGCCCCTTATTTGTTTAAGTCTTTTATTTGGCATTTAATGCCACAGAGTATGTGAGAAGCGTAATAGCATAGCCATAGACCTTGAATGGGCTGTTGAATAAATAGGACAAAATTAACACAGATTTCATTGTTTGAAGGAACAAACGGCTATCTATTCACTTTGCACCCCGTTTAAATGCAATTCTAGTTTAACAGCCTGCCACCTCTTCTTCACAATCAAACTGTTATACCGTTTGGATCCATTTGACATTTTGAGCTTTGGGCGGTGAACTCGGGTGCTACACTAAGATGCGGTCGAATTGCAGCACGTGTTTTGCGTTCTTTGACCTTGTTAAAGCCTTTTTAAGCAGACAACAGAATTTTTTGTCCAATTGACACTGATTAATTGTTGTACAATACCTCAATGGCGATCAAATTAGCAACGGCTATGCTACGATAACATTCCATAGTTTATTTCCAAAAATGAAGATCTTTAAAAGGCCAAATTTATGGAGTTATTTAAGAGGAATGTTTTCAATGCCTTATAAACGTGACGGCAAATCAAAGTTGTCACCAAAAACCACTTTCATCAAGTTTATACTCCACAGAACTATCTGCTGATAATGGGCAAGTGTTTGCATTAATAGTGCATGGCTCTTACAACTAAATACGTAAATTGCCATTTCAAGTCATCGATACAACCTCAACCCGTGTAGCGGAAAACCTCCTTTTCCCAGCAAATCCATTAGCTGGGGACTAGCAGCGGGAGCAGAAACCTTTCCTGTCTTTCTTGCAGATTCGACAAATCGTGAAAAGCACATGCCATGGAGCTAAAAGTGAGCCGCTTGCAATCCATTTGATTTAACTAATAATTACCACAAGACCAGCTTTTGAAATAGCACAGTTATGCTTTATTAGAAATATAAGACTGTGGGTTGTCAGTTGTATTGCAGATTATTTAAGCATTCGTCTGCTGAAGCCGCTAACAAAATTAAGGAAGCGTGTCGTTAACTGAGATGTCAGTCATACCCTTTCAGCTCTGCGGGAGTAGGCAGAGCCTGACCCAAAATTTACACAATTAAATCGTCGTTTCCATACACACTCACGCAAACATAACCGAGAACAGTAATATGATTTCTTTCCTGTACCATACTTTTCTGCACATCAGTCCTCCATTTCCGTTCTACAGCTGAGGAAATGCATTAAAATTAGAGCCTGAAGATGAGGGATTTTGCCAGTAAAACTACAACAAGAGTAATTTGTAGAAATCAGGTATTTTAAATAATACTTGGAATTGAGCAGTCTTTGAATGACCATCCATTGAGCACTGGCGTTTGCGCATCTGCGAAAACATCATTAATGGCATTGCAAAAAGCGTGATATGAGTTTTATGCAAATTTAGCATCTTTTGAACTTTGGCCGACGTAATATTGTATTCTTTTACCGAGACATAAGAAGGTCACCGCCACTACGAGTAATCTTTCCACTCCTCTTTGGAGTATTTGTGTTGGATTGGTAGTTAATATAATGTCTTTTACAAGTGTGTAGTCTTGACTGGTTGATTGTGATTTTTGCTCCAGTTTTGAAACCAAGTGAGGTGGCCGATTGCGGTACACAGCATGATCATTGAGGAGTATTCCAAAACTTTTCTGAATACGAAAGAAAGTATAATACTCAAAAAGAAGATGTATTGCCGACATAAAGAAGGACTGGGGGCTATTGCCATGGTCCAGAGACCATGTTACCCTGTTAAAATACGGTTGAGGGCCTTTAAGTGCCCCTTCACCAAAACTGAGAGTTAAACAAACAAAGCATTGCTATTAAAGCCATTGGTTAGGCAATGTTGAAGGCTCGAAGAGGCCGCTTCAGATTTAAAAAATATAATAAATCCCCAAGAACTTTCAGTCCTTATCTTCTATCTATAAAAGTAGTAAATATTTTAAAGAACATCGGAGCTGTTTGTTATTCATTGCATGCATTTTTGCTATTTTTAAGCTGTGAAAATACTGCTTGCATCACTCTGCCATGTGACGTGAATTGCAATGCTGGGTATCTTAAAACGTTTTAATGATACATGGTCACAGAAAAGTGTGGATGTGCTTTTTAAATAAGGCTCTAATTAGTTTCATTTCACCCTTCTATGTTTGACCTCCCCAATATGGCTTCAAAATTCGCTGTGTATTTGGAACAATTATCCACTTTTGTATTTTGCTTTGGAATTCTTAAGGACAGATAGAGTAACCATCAAAAGGGACGCATAGCTATGAAATAGTTGCAGCTTCTCCGCGCCTTTAAATAATCATTTCCTGTTTGATGTTCCCTCTGCTTGCAGAGATTAATTCTTCGCATTACCTACCTCTGGCTATGGAATCTAAACGAACCCCACTGTTCTCAATCATGGATTTTCGAAAATTATGATGTATTTATTTGAATCACAAGTATACTAATGTTCGGCGTTTTGGCTGAGCCTCCATTTCAGTACTTTTACTTCAATTTTCCTACCGCGGCAAACTCCAATGGCTGTATATATTTCATAAAAATGGGTTCTCACAGACTTTTGTGGGGGTAGCACTCCGTATCCCAGACATTGCAGTCACCCGACAACACCAATATATCATAGCAAATGGCTTAACATTGCTTTCATTCACTTTTCTAGCAAGGAAATCACCCGCATTCTTGAAGCGCTTTTGCTACTAAGCTAAGCGCTGCAAGCATTCCTTCCACTCTACTGAGCCCACTTCGTTGTAAAAGCGACTATTTCGCCTTTTTAACCACTTTACAGGTGGCTTAATTCTCACCATACCCTTTTTGCTTGGTGATTACCTCACCGCTGTGAAACGTCCAAGCATCATCCGGAGGAGTGGACGGTACACACATACACACACAATAAAACACCCATTTCACTCTCATTTGCACTCACCACAGGGCAATTAAAAACTCGGCGTGACCAGGCTTGGAGTGGGTTGGAGCGGGCGGGTTATGGCACCAGCACCAGTCTTATGGGTACGCATACGGCCAGATGAGTCATGAGCCGCTTTACCTATCTCCTCCTCCGATTGCGCGTGCGTTTTCGGCTATTTCATCGTGAGAAAGTAGGACACAGCAATCCAATTCTGTAGTCTCCTATGATTTGACCCAATATTAGTGTTGCTGCTGCTAGTAAAAATTGATGTACTTGAGGGGAGATTCTCGTTGGCTACGGTTAGACCAGATCCGCGGATTTATTCTTAATTTATTAGAGAATTTTTGACGAATTTAAGCCTTAGATTCTACAAACTGAAAGTGTTTTTCATCTTACAAAAGTCGTGTTGAAAATAGTGGAACCTTTTGTCTGCCAGAGCTAACCCCTGCTCCAAGCAAACAGCTATGGATTATTAATAATGGTGACTTGACGCGTTCTTTCGTTTAGTGCTACAAAAGTCGTAGTAAAAAATATGACATTTCCGTAAATGACAGTCGGTCGTAGACGGTAGAGGCAGCGGACACATTGGTGAACCACGCTCCACTACTTTGATTTGTGTTAATAGTGACATAGCCCTGTAGACAGTACTCTTCCCGGTACTAGGCAATTCCTGTGTGTGTACTGACACCCAAGGTATTCTTTGAGACAGTCGCGCCTATACCTAAAATTCCTTTTGCCTAGACTAGTATATATATAATTCGTTAATTAATTTTTAGGCGCGTCTGAGTAACGTTTAAGTACATTTTTTCTTTTATAGAAAGTTGTCATTGTAAAAATAATCTTAGCCAAATTTGCAAGGTAACCACAAGTAGGCGTTAAACCGGGGATTATTCTGTCAATTGGTGCTGTATTTAAGCAAAAAGTGTTCCATTCATATTAAAAAGTCCTTAAAAGCTGTACAAATCTTTCAAATAGTTTCTATTGAATTCCGTTGCAGCTCCCCGATTCCTTTCTGAATAGAAAGAAGTCACACTACTAGGTTGGAGTATGCATTCTTGATGTACAGAATAGCTGAGGGGCCATTGGTATGTCTTAAGGGCCAGACTGCCCATCGGGCATACAGTTGGGGAGGCCTGAGTAATCCGTTATAGAAACCGGTGATATAAACAACCATCATGTTGCACAGTCCTCTAAAGCAATCCCCTTGACCAACCTCTCGCGTCGACCATTACAACATTGTGGCTGCTACCAGAAAAACATCCATGAGTCAACCGAGCCAGTCGTTGAATTTATGCACAAATGAATAGACACTTGACCACAATGTCACTGACTTGCCTTGGCATTTCTGCTGCATTTGGAGTTCCATCCAATTTGGGATCTGGATTTGGGGAGGAGGGATATGCTGCCCATCAAACGTGTCCATACCTAGCGGAGGGAACACTGACCCAAAGGCGGAGTTATATAATAAAGGACGGGGTTTAACATAGTTTGGTGAATGTGGAGTTCCACGTCTGTTTCTCCTTGCCATACTCTTCTCATTTCAGTGCTGCCCAGCCATATATATCTCAGCTATCTCCTGGTGCTGGAGAATCAGAGGAGATATCGCGAGCTCACTTAACTGGCATATTCATTCAGGTACAGTAGACGTCTCCGTAAAGAACTCCTTGAGATGTTTCGCGACCACAACTAGCATCCCTTCAATTATTAATACCTTCCCCGCAAAACACGAGACTGTGGTATTTGCCAAAAGTGGACGTCAAAACCGGTTTTTCTATCCGCAGCGATGTGTCCATCTTCCATCAAGTTAGGTTTCAGCATTCAGAAATGGAAATCGGAGTAATTGTCCTTTGGGATCGGGTTTGCCTTCCGCTTCCACCAATGTAGCTCCCCGAGACTTTCTTGAAGATGAAAAGAGACATAATGCTAGGGCAGAATATGTATTATCGACGTTCGGAAGGGCTGAGGGCTTACTGGTATGGTTGGGAGGCCGGCCCATTCGGCGGCGGTGCAATGGCGGAGGACCGAATTGACCTCTTTATCGAAACCGAGGATTGAGCGAACAACCAACGTTTAAAATGGGTTTAAAAATGTCCTCATATATCTGAAATTAGCCTAACAATGTCATGTGTAAATGTTTTAATAAGGAACAATAAATCTTCAAAATACATAAAGGAACATTCTAATTTGCATTCTTGACAGACTTGTGGAAGTTAAAATGCAGGTAGTGGTGTTGGGGAAAATGGAATTGGCGAAAGATATTTAACCATGGAGGCCAAGGGGTTTCAGTGGTTGAAATTGATATTCCAAGTTGTAATTTTTAGTAGCATGAAGGGAAGCGGCATTCTCTAAACTGTGTCGTCTACACACACAATTGCCCTGAAATTACCAACCTCAATCATCTATAGTTTTTGACTAATTGGGTGAAACTAAGTGCCTTCCATCTTTTTCGGAGAGAACTTTTCACTGTCGCTTGTATTTAATTTAGGGAAAATAATAGCGAAAAGTTAAACCACACACAATATAGGCAAAACGGCAATGGCTTCTGTTCAACTGTCATGTTCTACGTCATCCTCAAGTAAAATTTACCACTTTACTTGGTACAATTTTTGCTGGAGGAGTAACCAAAGTGGTCGCTGCAAACGAATTGCTGATTATTGCGAAAAGCAATGATAAACTTGCTTTCCTCTAGTAGTGAATCTCAGTGGCTGCATTGTAGCCTTAGCTTAGCCACCATTCTCATTACTTGGGCTTTCGTGAAAACCACCATATCTCTGCATCTATGCGCATCCCGTTTTCGTTTATCCGAGTGGAAATTGCTTTTTACATTGAGAGTGCGAGTCAATCCGATATTTTCGCACCTGCTTGTTTGCATTATTTGTTGCCTACTTTTTTAAAAACGTGTGTTTATTTTATGTGGGTTCCTAATATAAGGTACAGTTTTAAGGTTTTTAGCATAAAATCCTCAAGTCTAATCAAAAGCGGTTAAAAAGGCTACTTTAGGCTTCGAAGGCAACGCTGCAATTTTTCTTAATAAAAGGTCTGTTTTAGACCACAGAAATGCTGCTTTCCATTCCCCTTCTTTTTCTTCTCAATTCCTGATAGGGCGAATTCGCCTGTCTGCGCCTATATCAGTAGACTTTCAGATTTAAAAGTGCTAGATAACATCACCTTGGATGGGGTGTTAATTAATTAACAAAAATCCTTGTGTGAGGTTTGTCCTTCTTTCAGCATCACAGTACCACAGTGGGTGGGCTGGTCCAGAAAGTGCCAGTGCTACGCACAAATAAACGAAGGTTTGACAAAATAATGTGAAACGGAAATAGGGAAATTTTGCCTTAATGGCGGTGAACATTACCGGAAACAACAATGTCCACTGTGAATGGATGGAAACGGTCATTTGCCGTTTTGGGGTTTGCCATTCGTCGATGAGACTTTCTAAGGAAAAGTCATTGCATAAATGATGAAATAAGGTTTGAGACTACTTTTTCTAAGTTACTTGGGCGCAAATGATAAACTCTTCTACTTGTATCATTAAGAATTCGAGTGAAGTGAAGATTGTTTAGTTCGCAAGCTTAAGTAGGTGGAATCTTCAGTCTCATTGACCGGGTTAAGAGCTAGGTGTCGTGGCGTTTCGTACCTATATCCTTCTTTTTAGCTTCTTCATGTTAATGATAAACCTTTCTCCTGCCAGTCAATCTTATTATTTTCTCAAGACTGACCGGAGGCATTGAGCAGCTACCCGATAAAGAGAACTATAATTCTAATTGTGTTGGCTGGATGTTACGAATGAATGTAATTTATAGTATCCACTGTCATCCCCGAATCTCCTAGGATGCGTGTCATTGGGGCTGTCAGAATTGTATCAACTTTCAGAAAATGTCCCAATTTCGAGTTCCGTACACTGACGAATAGCGGCGCAGGATCAGAGTTGAACGAATCAGAGGTGTTACTTTAGAATCTTTTTGCAGTATTCAAGTAAGGAAATGATATCCTAATGTGCCAAAAAGCTGGGCAGTGTTTAAGTGGCAGCCTAGTGGTTGGGAGGAAAGATACTGAATGCAGCTTTGTGAAGGTACCTCACCTAAATCGGTTAATGATTTGCTTCAACTTTGATGAACATTTCACGGCTGATGATTGGCATGCGAAATGCAAGAGCAGTGGAGCTT